TCGAGTTGATCCTGACTCATAGCGACCCCTCCTTGGGTTTCCAAGGCAGTATCTCTACAGAAGTAGATTGCCCAATCTTCCTTCGGAGCAGTGGCTTGTGCGTTTGAACCATCAGCTTCTGGTTAGCGGTCACATGCCTTAGGCACAACTCCACAACCAACGGGAGGTGACCTTTGGAAATACAAGAAGAAAAAAAACATCAGTCTCTCTTCCTTTCAGCTGCTGTGTTCTCCTTCAGAGCATGCAGATGCAACTTAAACAGCCAGCGCTATATTTAGCACTAACCAAAATACCCACCTCCCAGACTCCACCCTCTGGAGCCCCTGAAAATTCACTGTGGCTGCTGTATTTGTGTTCCAGCCCAACGCGAGTGTACACGATTCTGGAGGAGCTGAGTTTAGGGACCATTGTGGCCAATATCACAGCTAAGGACCCTGATGATGAAGGTTTTACCAGCCGTCTCTTCTACAGCATTACTACTGCTAACAACTATTTTATGATAAATCAATGTAAGTCACACATGCAGATGTGCCCCTCTTCTGTCTAGGGCCCATCATAAGTTACCAGGGTAATGTTGTTAGATGCTGTTGAGTCAACTTCAACTCATAGCAACCCCATGGGACAGAATAGAACTGCACCATAGAGTTTCCTAGGCTGAATCTTTATAGAAGCAAATTGCCAGGCCTTTCTCCCTCAGAGCTGCTGGATGGATTCCTTCCACCAACCTTTTGGTTAGTAGCTGGGTGCATAACTGTTGTGCCAGTGGGGATCCCTATCAGGGTGATAGCTGTGTTAAAAGCAGCTGTTATGGGGTTTGGGGAAACGGAATGGGACACAGTGTTGCCAGTTAAATCACGCTTCACCTTTGAGGATAGTGAGTGTGTAATGTTGATGGGTGAGATGTCCTGAGGATACCTTGAGGTCTTTGAAGAGAGGATCCCTACCAGCACTGTCCAATAGAAATATAATGGAAGTCACATATGTAATTTTAGATTCTCTAGGGAGCTCTGGTGATATAGTGCCAGAAAGCTGGCGGTTCAAACCCACCAGCCACTCCTGGGAAGGAAGATTGGGCAATCTACTTCAGTAATGATACTGCTTTAGAAACCCAAGGAGGGGTCGCTATGAGTCAGCTCTGACTCCACGGCAGTGAGTTTGGTTTGGTTTGGTTTAGTAGCCACATTAAGCAAAGTGAAAATAAATAAGTGAAATGAATTTTAATAATGCATTTTATTTAACCTGAAACATCCAAAATATTAAGGCACTCTGGCAGTGCTGTGGTTAAGGCATTCCGCTGCTACCAAAGGTTGGTAGTTCAAACCCACCAGCTGGTCCACAGGACAAAGATGAAGCAGTCTGCTTCCGTAAAGATTTACAGCCTTGGAAACCCTATGGGGCAGTTCTATTCTGCCCTATAGGGTCACTATGAGTCTGAGTCAACTGGATGGCAGTGGGTTTGGGTTTACATAACACTGCTGCACAGCAGGGGAGTCTTCCTCCTGGGAAGGCTTGCCTTGCTGATTTTGCGGAAGCTAGCTTTGGAGAAAGGGGCCTTGGTGGTGCAAACTTGGCTGCTAACTGAATAGTTGGTGGTTTGAACCCACCCAGGCTTCATGGGAGAAAGGCCTGGTGCTGGATGTCTGTAAAGATTACAACCTAGTAAACCTATGAGGCAGGTCTACTCTGTCACATGGGGTCACTGTGAGTCTGAAAACCAATTCAATGGCACCTAACAGTGGCATTGGAGAGGAGGCCCTAAGTAACACAAATAGTTAATGTGTGTGACTGCTAACCAGAAGGTTGGAGGTTCAAGTCCACCCAGAAGTGCCTGGGAAGAAAGTCCTGGTGCTCTACTTCTAAACAAAGCAGCCATTGAAAACCCTGTGGAACACAGTTTGACTCTTAACACACACAAGGTCGCCAGAAGTTGAAACTGACTATACAGTAACTGGTGGTGGTGGATGGTATTGGACAATCCCAGAAAGGCAATGCATTATTTGTCCCAAAGGCTTTAGGGCAAAGAATACCTCTTCCCAGGGAAGGGAGGGCAACAGCAATAGCTGAAAACTTCCTAGTGCTCTGGCATCATGGACCTCAACCCGCTGATAGTGAGGGTTGATCGACCATGGTTTAGAGTTCTGTTCACCCTAGTACTGGAAAGGAGCTCTGGTGGTATAGTGCCTATGGCATTTGACTGCTAACCAGAAGGCTGGTGGTTCAAATCCACCAGCCACTCTGAAGAAGGAAGACTGGGCAGTCTACTTCTGTAAAGATTTACCTCCTCAGAAACCCAAAGTGGGTCACTATGAGTCAGAATTGACTCAATGGCAGTGAGGTTGGTTTAGTTGTTGTTGTTATGTGCCATTGAGTCAAACCCAACTCACAGCAACCCCTCCTTTGGTTTCTGAGGCAATATCAGTACAGAAGTAGTAGTACAGTCAATTGCCTTAGGCACTATACTACCAGCACCTCCTTGGTTTAGTTACTACTGGAAAATTAAGTTTTAAGAAGCACTGTGTTTTTTGGAGAATGTTTATTAAGACTCTTTGGTTGCAAGTAACAAAAACTAAGGAAACTAATTCAACCTAAGGAATTTTTAAAAAGGTCAGGAGGCCTGAAGGAGCTCTGGTGGTGTAGTGCCTAAGGCATTTGACTGCAAACCAGAAGGTTGGCGGTTCAAACCCACCAGCCACTCTGTAGAAGGAAGATGGAGCAATCTAGTTCCATAAAGATTTACTACCTTGGAAACCTGATGGGGGTTGCTATGGGTGGGAATTGATTCCATGGCAGTGAGTTTGGTTTTGGTTTGAGGGAAACTCTATCAACATGTTACTGGTATCTCATAAGAAAAAGCCAAACTGTCAGGGCCCAGGCTCATCTAGGGACCTCAGCAGTTATACTTCCGGCCTTTGACCCATAGCTCTACTACAACCCAGCTCGGCTACTGATTCTCTAGCTCATGACACTCAATTCAAAATTCTCCATTAAAAGAATCAGTGGGTTGAGATCTAAAGTCAGGTGTCCACCAGTCCAATTAACTCTGGGCAAGGCTCCTTCCAGGGGTTCAAGACTGTGGTTTGGGGCAAATAATTCCAGGAGAAGCAATCCTGATACCCCAGAAAATGTCTATGAACTTATATGGGCTTTTCAAAAAGTTGTGTTTTTATAGCAGATATTCTCTTTGCAAGCCAGTCCTCATATTAGAATGTTCTTTTCCAGTTTTCTCCAAGTCTCCATATACCCCTATTCTTTCATTTCTCTTCAAAGGCATGTTCTAACCTTTGCCTTCTAGTGACTGGTACAATCCAAGTGGCTAACAGGCTAGACCGAGATGCACATGAATTAAGACAAAACCCCACCATTTCTCTGGAAATTCTGGTGAAGGATAGACCCCAAGGGGGCCAGGAGAATCGCATCCAGATCACCTTCATTGTGGAAGACATCAATGACAACCCTGCTGCTTGTGCCAAGTTCACCTTCAGGTATTCTAGCTTTGAGAACTGTGCTGGGCATTCTACCCCTGTGGTGGCTCTGGACCCTTCGGTTTCTCTGCTGTATTCTCAGGAGGAATGGAAGAATTATAGGAATTTGGGGAAATGGCTCAAAAAAATAAGTCAACTTGAACTGTCCTGTTTTGTACATAGGGAGCTCTGGTGGCATAGTGTCTAAGGCATCTGATTGCTAACCAGAAGGCTGGCAGTTCAAACCCACCAGCCACTCCTCGGAAGGAAGGTTGGGCAATCTACTTCCCTAGTTCTGTACATAGGTATTCCTTTCACAATACGTTTTTTTTTTTTTTTTTCTCTCTCTCTCTCTCACTTTCTTTACTCTGTTATCTCTCTTCTCCAATTTCTTACTCTCTTAAAAATTAATTTTTATTTTCTGCCTTTCAATAACATGTTCAACTCAGTTGGTGAAAAATACTACAGGGACTTGTTAGAGCCTCTCTGGACTGTGCCTTTTCTTTATTTATTGCCACCAGTGGCCAGACATTCTGTTTGTTAGCAGTTATAACAGATCTTGAGATTTAGGATTAGTATCTAGGAACCCCCAGAGAAACACGCCACTAGAATTATGAATAAATCAAGCCAAGTGCTTACTTAAAACCAAACAAAGCATCTAATTCACCTTACACAACTTAATTGCTTATAAACAAAAAGCAACATAAAGGGAAAAACGCAGATACAAATGGAATGCAAGTGAGTTGCTATATTTTGACCTGTTATTTGTCCCACAGTCTATTCACCCAGCCACCCAAACCTACTATCATAGAGGTGATTCCAACTCATAGGGACCCTATAGGACAAAGTAGAACTACCCCCTAGGGTTTCCAAGACTGTAAAGCTTTATGGAACAGACTGCCACATCTTTTTCCCATGAAGCAGCTAATTGGTTCAAATCACCAACCTTTCAGTTAGCAACTGAGCACTTTAACCACTGTGCCACCAGGACTCCCTAATCTATTCACAGTTATTGAAAAATAAAGTCCTTTGCGATTGTAGGTTAATATGCTTTTAAAAAACAGTATTGTCATTCTATTATTTTATCAAAAGCTGCAAGATGAATAACTCCCCAGGTTAATGTCATCTCTGTGATTTGTAGCAACCAGTCTCCAGTTTTTTGGAGTCTGAAATGGTTTTTCCACTTGCGGGAGATGTGAGGGAGAGAGAAGGTAGGGAGACAGTGCCCTGAAGACCAGAACAGGCCTCAGATTTGGATCTCCCCATGGACAGTCTCCTTCAGAGTTTATCTTTGATGAATTTTCAAGTTGACTTTTAAAGCTCTGGGTGGATTTGGGCATGGACCCAATCAATATCCATAACCATACAAAGGAATAGATTGCCTAGGGTAACCCACTGTTGTTAGCTACACTCGAGTTAATTCTGACTCATGGTGACCCCATGTGTGCAGAGTAGAACTGCTCCATAGAGTTTTCAGGGCTGTGACCTTTGGAGAGCAGATTGCCAGGCCTATCACCCATGGACCTCTGGCAGTGGGCTTGAGCTGCTAATCTCTTGGTTAGTAGTCTGAGTGTTTAACCATCCGTGCCACTCAGGGACTCCCGGGAAAGCAATAGAAATATAAATTCCTTCATTATGCTTATGAAGGTCTCCCTGTTCTCCTACCTATATGCCCAGCATCATGCTAGGAAATCAGTGAGACAAGAGTCTGATATCAGAAGAGTTAAACTCTATTCTGGGCACATCCCATTTGCCCCTCCAAATCCACTCTCCACCCTCCCCTGTGCCCCGAGAGGCTGATTTGTATGACAACCTCAAAAGGAACTTCATGTTGTTGAATAGGCAAGAGGTGGAGGACATGGGGACGGTGAAGTAAGAATATTTTTCTACCTGGCTCCCTCCCTAGTGAGACCTCTGCCAGCTAGATGTCCCTTCACTTCCTGAAGGCCTCTATTCCTATAAGGCAGCCCTCTCCAAACAGCACTGTCTGTCCCTGGGTTCTAGTTTCAGAAACTCCTCCCTCCAATGGCTCTTTCAGGCCTGGAGGTGGTAAGGGAGCTCCACTCTTACTGGCTCTGAGATATTGCACCATCCCTTGAGATTTCCATACACTCTGTCTGCACCTTTATAATAGTCTCTTTATTAAACCTTCCCAGAATTATCCTAATTTGACCTCTGCTTCCTTTTGAAACCCCGGTAAAGTCATAATAGCTTTGATCATATGATAGGTTCCTATTCCTGCCCTAAGCATTCATGGCTCTTAATCTGTGAGATGGGTGGGCATGGTTAGGATGGTGACACCCATACCATTACATGCATAAATGGAACATACCCACTGTTAAGAGAAGTCTGGGCCCTGGAGACAGAGTGGAGATGGTATTCAGAGCCACTTTGTGTTAGTTCTCTAGTACCACCTATAACAGAAATACAACAAGTGGATGGCTTTAACAAACAGAAATTTATTCTCTCGCAAGTTAGGAGATTAAAAGTCTGAATTCAGAATGCCAGCTCTAGGGGAAGGCTTGCTCTCTCTGCCAAGTTTGGAAGAAGGCCCTTGTCTCTTCAGCTTTTGTTTCCTGGTTCCTTGGAGATCTCCATGTGTCTTGGCATCTATTTTACCCTATTTCTATTCCACTTGCTAGTTTAATCTCTTCTGTATCTCAAAAGAGATTGACTCAAGATATACTCTACTGTTCCTGCCTCATTAACATAACAAAGACAACCCATTCCAAAATGGGATTATAACCTCACGTGTGGAGGTTAGGATTTACAACACATATTTTGGGGGGGCATAATTCAACCCATAGCATAGTCTTGATTTTCTTTGAAAAGACTATGCGAGTACTCCTGGTGTGGCTCCAGTGCATCCTGGGAAATTCCTCTCCTGGGTCCTGCCTGTCTAGATGCTCCTGCCTTTCTTTACTGCCTTGTCTTGAGAGGTGGGGGAGGGTCAGAATGGTTGGCCCTGAAGGCTACGGAGCAAGAACTCTGGATACAGGCCTGGAGAGGATGTGCTATCTCAAACCTTCCTTGTCAGTGTTCGCCCTCCAGCACCTATCTCTTAAGTACACATTACAGCTTCCTGTGGCCCAGAGTCCCCTGTGTGTGTGTTGAGCTTGCAGACTGCACTTCATGTTGTGGGGTGCTCTTGAGTCAATCCCCTCACAGTGACCCCATGTGACAGAGTAGAACTGCCCCATAGGTTCTGATGTACATTGCCCTAGTACATAACTGTGCTGAGCATGCTTTCATGTGCTTTTGGCCATTTCTTTATCTTCTTTGGAATGTCTACTGAAATGTCCATTCAAATCCTTTGTTCATTGTTAAATTGAATTGTCTTTCTCTTACTGAGTTTTAACGGTTTTTCATCGATTGCTCACTCTGGGCCATCTCCGGAGACCAGGTTAGTGGCTGCCAGGGCTGGCTGGTGAAATCACATTTCCAGTGTCCCAGACTGATCAGGCAAGCTCCTACCGAGTCCTGCTTGTGCTAATCTCTCCATTTCAGCACCGAAGGCCAGCCCTAAATCAGTCACTGGATTAGCTGAAGATAATTCCGAAGATAATTCTAAACAACATTCAAGTCCTTTTTCTGGGCTTTTCTAGCCAGGGTGACTTCCAGCGGTCCTATGAAAGCCAAGGTGTGGGGAAGGGCAACAAAGGGGTCCTTCCTCGGCAGACAGGAACCGGAGTCTTTATTCCACAAACCCAACCTGCATGTCCTTTGGCTCATTTGCATGCTATAGGCACTAAGAAGACCTGACAATCCTCTCCTCTTTGCTTCTTCCTCCATCCCTACCCACACCATGTCCGGGATACTCATCTGGCCAAAGTGGAAGCACAGGAGCAGGTTTTGAAAAAGAACAAAATAACAACAGAAGTAATGTAACCACAGTCTCTGACAACATCTGTCCCTGCAAAGGGGTCCTGGGCAAGGTCCTTTCTGCTGAGTTTGTGCACTGGCAGAAGTGTGGATGGAAGGAGGCGGCCTGGCCCTGGTAGTGGCAATGCGCTGGGCATGAGAAGGACGCCAGACTGGAGGAAGGCGATACCCCTTGTCCACTGTCCATGCAGGCTCTCTGGAGGGCTCAGAGTTCAAAATAGCCCTTCACACTGACTGAGGCGGCCCCTGAGGCTTTCTTGAGCTGATGATGAATGAACCTCAGCCTGATGGAGGCATCAAAGGCTCAGTGACAGCCCCAGCTGTGCTGGTTGTAAATTCTCTGGTCTCTTGGCTGAATGGGCTTCACAAGCTGTTTGTGAGCAAGAGGTGGAGAAAGTTGGCCAATTCAGAGTGTGGATGGCAAGGAGGGAGGGCAGAGGCCTTTGAGGCAGGGATTAGTGAATGGGGTGTGGTTTTCTAGGTCATGTGTTTAGGGAAGAAATGCCAAGTGTTAAGGAAGAATACAAGAACAAGACACACAGCTCTGAGGAGAGGAGTGTGGAATCCTATTTTGGAGTGCCTGAAATATCTGGCTTCAGAACCCTGGACTCTTCCTCAGAGTTGGTAATCAAGGCTCAAATCCTTCAGCCCTCTATGGGTTTCATTATTCTGTGAGGGAACTTAATAAAGTTTACAGTGACACCAACACAGACAATAAATAATCGGGCCTGAACGAACCCACTTTCTTGGGCAGATATTGAACTATTCTAAGCCACTCTCTTCTTCTGAATGTATACCTTTTGAAAATAAGAATATTAGAGATAAATATTTTTAAAACACATGGTATGATACAGCATATAGTTGATGTTTAATAAATGATATCTACACCAAGAAAAGGAGCCACGGTGGTGAAATGATTAAATACTCAGCTGCTAACTAAGAGGTTGATGGTTCAAACCCACCAGCCACTCCATGGGAGAAAAGACCTGGAAATCTGCTCCCATAGAGATTTCAGCCTAGGAAACCCCATGGGGCAGTTTTAATTTGATAGCACACAAAAGCACCAATACTCTAAGAATCAGAATATTCCTTCGAAGTGAGGATGGTGAGATTCTGACTCACGCTAGACACATCATCAAGAAAGACCAGTTGCTGGAGAAGAACATCATGATTGGTGAAGTCGATAGTCAGTGAAAACAAGGGAAACCCTCAATGAGATGGATTGACACAATATCTACAATGCACTCGAACATACCAATGATCGTGAAAATGGCATGGGACCAAGCAACAGTTCATTCTGTTGTACCTAGGGTCACCATGACTTGGAGCCAACTTAATGGCAACTAACAATAATAACAACTATAAGTGATTATTAATATAAACATGACATTGTGCAATGGAGGCAGGAACAAAAATGTTCCAACTCCAATCCTGCCCAAACATGTGTGATCTGTGCCAGTGAAGCATCGTGGAGATTCAGTTACACCTGCCAGGAAACTTCTTTCCAGGAAGCAAACCCAACTATTCTCAGCAGTTCAAGACCATGCTTGCTGTCAGACTTGCTCCACATTTGCTGTGCTCAGAGCCCATTTTAGCTGCCATTAGGCTGTGGAAGGTAGAAAGGAGCACAATTTAGTTACAGAGAGAGGATTGAAGAACTTAACACATGTTAGTCTGGGCCCTCCAAGAAGCAGATGCCAAGGCAGGATTAAATGTGCAAGGATTTAATTTCTATGTGGGAGAATATGGGCAGAGAGCTGCATGAGTCTGGGAGAGTCATCGGACCACCATGTAGGTCTGACCCTGAATGAAGGAAAGAGGGAGGGAAGGTGGACAGGTATGTCCTAGACTGCATGAAGCCCAAGAAAAGTTCAGTGAGGCCATCAGGAAGTCCTCAAGCCAAAATCAACTAGCTATCAGAAGACAGAAGTAAACCTGCCTTAATGTCTCTGCCACGCCCAGTTGTTGGCATATGGCCTCAGTGCAAAAGCGGCCATGGACTTCAGAGCATAGTTACTGGGGCCATCGCCAATTATACTCCTGTAGTTGAATGCAAGGCACATTCTGATGGCAGCCACGATATACTGTTTTTAAGAAATTCTGCCCAAGGCATGTTATGATCTAGGTAGGTGGCAAAAAAATAAAAATAGCCACAAATTTCTTCCTGCCTATATACCTATATACACAGTTTTGTAATGTGATTTTGCCATTCCCCCCATCATAAAGAGGTAGGGTCTATCTTTCTACTTCTTGAAGCTGTGCTTGACCACATGTGGAGTAAAGAATTTAACTTCATCCAGAGAATTTGTCCTTGGTTCCTAAGAGAGAGCCTCTAAAACCTAGGAATTTCCCCAATGATTGAAGTGCCTTTCTTATCTAAGAGGGCTCCAGACCTGTCAAGTTATGCTATAAGGTGACTCAGGTGGAGCCAGAAGGACCCACTATGTGATATCAGCCAACCTCAGGGGAGGGAGACATGATTCAACCAATCATGTAAATGTAGCCCCAATAAATGCTGTGGACATGGTAGCTCCATGGGCTTCTTGATTGATAATAAACATCAATGCATGTGGCAGTATAGCACATCTCCTTTTCGAACATGGAAACTTCACGTTGATAACCCTCCTAGATCTTGTCTTATGCATCCCTTCATTTGTATCCTTTTGCTATAATAAACCTGTAATCTGAAGTATAGCACTTTCCATGAGTTCTGTGAGTTGTTTTAATGAAGTATTGACTCTGAGGGAGTAGTGGAGCCAGTAGGTCAGAAATGAGGGGAGTCTAGAAACCCCTGAGTTTATGGCTGGTATCCTGAGAGGAGGTACTGGAAACCCTCAGATTTGTAGGCAGTAGGTCAGAAATGAGGGTATTGTAGGGACTTCTAAGATTGTGGCTGGCATCTGAAGTCATGGGCAGACTTGTCAGTCTGGAGGACTGTGCCCTTTAACTTGTGAGCTCTGACTAGGCTCCAGGTCAGAGAAAGAAGTGCTGCATGTGCAGCTGGTGTCAGAACAGAAGGAAACAGAACTGATAATAAATTGCTTTGGATTGATCAACACATTAGGTCTCAGAGAAGAAAGATTTGACTGTCCTCCCACCACATGAATTGCTTTGGCCAATTTTGGCCAATGGAATATTCACAAATGCAGCACAGCAGAGACTTGCAAAGTGCTTGCATGTTGGAACTTACCTTCTCTTGGCACTTTTGGAACCTTGTAATCTCTGTGTGAAGAGCCCAAACTAACATAGTGGAGGAAGAGAGACAACAAAGCAGAGATCAACCATCATCTCATCACCTGACATGTAAGTGAAACCATTCTAGATTACTCAGCCCCAGGCAAGCTGCCAGATAACCAGAGACTAGCCAAGATGGACTAGCACCAAAAGAACTGCCAGATGACCATAGCATTGTGAGAAAAAGGTGCCCTGGTGGCAAAATGTTAAGTGCTTGGCTGCTATCCGAAAGGTCAGTGGTTCAAACCCATCAGCTACGTTCTATGGGAAAGGATACCTGACAATCTGCTCGGTAACCTAGAAAACCCTATGGAACAGTTCTCGGTCCTAGAGGGTCACTATGAGTTGGAATCATCTTAATGGCAGAGAATAACAACCTTGTGAAAAATAATAAATGCTTGTTTTCAAGCACTATGTTTTGGTCTGGTTTGTTATGTAGCTGAAGCTAACTGACATGATTTATGTCCATTTTATAGATGGAGAAACTGAAGCCTGGAGACATGCTAAAGGCCCTCAAAATGAATTAAAGTCTAAAGGTGTTATCGTCTCCCTTAGCTGGACCTGAAGGCTCTAAGTCTGAGGAAAGCTTTAGTCACTTGTGTTGTTTGCTTAGACCATGGAGTAAATTGAGACTCAAAAAACTGAAAAACCAAACTTACTGCCATCGAGTCAATTCCGACTCACAGCAACCTCCTTTGGGTTTCTGAGGTGGTAAATCTTTACAGAAGTAGATTCCCCAGTCTTCCTTCCATGGAGTGGCTGGTGAGTTTGAACTGCCAGCCTTCTGGTTAGCAGTCAAATGCCTTAGGCACTATGCCACCAGAGCTCCTTAAATTGAGACTGGGACCTCCAAATTCAACGCTTAACAGACCCTTATTGAATAAATTATACCAAGGAGTTAAGAGATCCTTCTGAGACATTAAAGCCATTAGAACACAAGTTGAAGAATCCCAGTCTTCAAAGCATGGAGGCTGAGGGGTGTAGGGGTACAGGGATTTTCTCTAACCAGATTATAAACTTCGGCAGGCAGGGCTTCAATTTATACTACTCATATGTCTTTGAGAAGTTCTGATAGTATAGTGCCTAAGGCACTTGACTGCTAACCATAAGGCTGGTGGTTCAAACCCACCAGCCACTCCTCGGAAGGAAGGTTGGGCATTCTACTTCCGTGATGATACCACCTTGGAAACCCAAGGAGGGGTCGCTATGAATTGTGTCCAACTCGAGGGCACACAACAACAACAAAAATATGTCTTTCATCACTTCTGTTCTAGTCTCACAAAGTATCATTCGTCCATTCAACAAATATTATTGAGTTCCTACTGTGTTCTGAGAACAAAGCAGTCAAAAATCCCTGCCCTTGTGGATTTATCTTCTAGGGGAGGGACAGACAATAAGCAGGATAAATAAGTAAAACATATAGTATATTGGAAACTGGTAAGTGCTAAAAATTAAAAATAAAGATGGGAATGGGAAAGGAAGCCACTGACTTAGACAAGGTAGCCAGAGAAGGTCAAACTGGGATGGTGACATTTGATTAGAGAGTAAAGAAGACAGAAGAGTGAGCATATGGCAATTTGTGAGAAGAGGTCTCCACAGCAAGTTCAAAGACCTCGAGGCCAGAGCTGAGTGGTGGTCCAGGAACACCAGAAGGCGGGAGTGGTGGGAGCAGAGTGAGCAAGCAGAACAGTTAGTAGGCGATGAGGTCAGAGAGGCAATGAGAGGGGTGAGAGACACCGTGTAGAGCTCATAGGTCGAGGGTAGGACTTGAGTGACATGGAGAGCCATGTGGGCCTTAGAATGACTTGATGTCACATTTTAACAAAGCTCCCTCTAGCTTCTGTATTAAGAATAGTCTAAAGAGAGGCAAGGACAGAAGCAGAGAGACCAGTTCAGAAGTTCTTGTAATAACCATGGCTTTGCTTTGAATTGAAATTAAAGTAGAGGTGACCAGGCTAAGACAGAAGCAGCATTCAATCAGCATTTGTTGGGGGAAAATACTGAATTGTGTCTTTCCGCCAGCATTATGGTGCCTGAAAGAGCAGCCAAGGGGACGCTGCTTCTGGACCTGAACAAGTTCTGCTTTGATAATGACAGCGAAACACCAAACAACAAATTCAACTTCACCACACCATCTGGAGTGGGGAGCAGCAGCCGATTTTTACAGGATCCAGCTGGCTCTGGGAAAATTGTGGTCAGTTAACAGTCATTGTGTCATTTAAAGGGCAACGGGGAAGCTGGTCTAACATGCATAGTGTATTTGCTGCCCTATAGAGAGAAATTACCAAGGTAACTCCCCCCTTGGAGCGATTGCAACGGACAAACTTAATAGTGACTCTGCTTTTCCCATTTGCTCTTTATTTTACCCACGTTCCAGGACTGGTTTGTTATGTACATTTGTGCCCGGGGTGCTAAGGAATGGACTCTTTCTTGCATAGCACACAGTTGGCATGCCTGTTTAGTATGCCTCTGCAGTCACATTAGTGCCCTCTGGGCTCAAGTACTTTTGTTTATTTAAGTGCTCATTCCTGGCCCATAAAGGAGTGAGGTGCAAGAACGCAGGGCCAGGCCCTGAATGTATCTTGATAACTTCAGCATTACATGCTCACTGGGTGAGAGATTGGTGGTTCAGTGGTAGAATCCTCTCCTTCTAGATGGGAGACCTGGGTTCACTTCCTAGCCACTGTACCACATGGGCAGCCACCACCCATCTGTCAGCAGAGACTTGTATGTTACTATGATGCTGGACAAGTTTCAGTGGAGCTTCCAGACTTAGAAAGACTAGGACGAAAGGGCTGACAATCTACTTTAGAAAATCAGTCAATAAAAACCTGATGGATCCCGCTGGTCCAATCGCCAACCAATCGTGGGAATGGCATAGGACTGGACAGTGTTTGGTTCAGTTGTGCATTGGGTCACCATGATGGCAGCTAACAATGAAAGACAACCACCGAACCACTGGGGACCCAAATGGGAGATTGAGGGTGCATAGGTAGCGCCTCTCCTATACAGCAACTCCAGAGGGGCAAAGGCAGAGTTGGAAGAGGATGGGCATGCAAGGTGGACAAAGCGAGCTGTGGAAACCCTTATTTATAAAAGGCTCCTGCCTATGGGTGGTAGAGAAGGAAATAGAAGGGTGGGGAAATTGGGTGGGTAGGGTCTCCAAAGTGGTTTGCACCAGAGATAAAGCCTTAGGGAGAAAAGTAAAGCAAGCCTTCACCCTTCTCCACATCCCACCACAAGCCTTCCTTCATTTCCCAAGAAAATCTTAACAATTTTATTCATAGTGTCATTTGAAAAATAATTCCTATTTTCTTTCTATTTAGGAAATCAATACATGTAGAAAACACAAAAACATTCAGTGATAATCATTGTTACTCTTTTGATATATTTCCTTCTTGTCTTTTTTCTATATGTCTATTTTATGCATATTCTATAGATATATGTATATAAGTATTCTAAATATGCATAAGTATTTTAAATAATGAAAATATCCCTGCAAAAAGGATTCTTTATCCTGCTTTTCTTCAACTAATCTGAAGATGTGAGTTGCTGCTGTTGGGCAATAGTGCTTGATGACCATGTTTGTACAGATAAATCCTGATTCTTGATAAATCCTTTAGAATAAATTCTTTAGTAATGAACAAAGGTATGGGTATAGCTTTTTAAAGTTATATATGTGGAGACAAAATACTGTCCAGAAAGTTTTATCAGTTTACACATCAGCTAGCAGTATATGAAAATGTCTTTCTCAGTCAAATAAGTTGGATTGTTTATTCTGTCTAATCTCTGTTTTAATCTAGTTGATCGGTGATCTAGATTATGAAAATCCAACTAATGTGGCATTTGGCAATAAATACTCCATGATAATCCAAGTACAGGATGTTGCCTCTCCTTACTATAAAAGCAAGTATCATTCTGATTTATTTCATGAGCTGTCTTTTTGTGTTTAGAAAGAGACTTTGACAAAACCAAACACTTGAGAGTCATCCCAGTCTTCTCCCCTTCGGTACCCAGAACATTTAATAAGTCCTTCCTTCTATATCACCTCCTACAATCTCAAGAATCTGCCCACTCTCTGCTCTGCACCCCGCTGCTCCTGCTTTAAAGCAGGGTCCTCCTTTTCTTGGCTGAATTACAACACTTAACAGTCTCTTAAGGGTTCCTCTGTCTCTGTCTTGCCCCTCTCCAATGCATCCTTCCCATTTCTATTAGTGATGTTTTAGGAAATGCAAATGCCATCATATTACTTCCTTACTTAAAGCTCTTCAGTGTCTCCTATAGCTTTCAAGTTCAAACTCTTTGGTTTTACACACAAGGACTTTGATCATCTGGCCCCTACTTAATCTTCTAGCTTCATTTCTTGTCACTCCCCTCTAAACCCACTTCCTCCCAGCTAGTCCAAACAGCTTGTATCTCCTGAAGGAATTTTGCTTTCTAAACCTCGATATCTTTGCATATGCCAAGAAACCCACCCTATCCCCACCTCTGGACCCATTTGCCTAACTCTGTCTTAATAGTCCCTGGGTGGTTAAGCATGGACTACTAGCCAAAATGTTCAAGCCTACCCAGATGCACTGTGGAAGACAGGCCTGTTGATCTGCTTCTGAGAGGTCACAGCTTTGAAGACCCAGTGGAGGGCAGTTCTACTCTGCACACGTGAGGTTGTGTGAGTTGAAATCGATTTGGCAGCAGCTGGTATAACTTCCCTTGTAAAGCCCAGCATACACCTCTTCCTGGGAGGCGGTCCTCCTCTGGCTTCCAAAGTGCCCTGTGTGTGAATTGATCTCAGTGCACACACCTTGAGGCAGTGACCATCATGTCTTATTCACCTTGTAACCCTAATATTTTGCACAAAGCCTGGTACACAGAAGATGCTTTAGAAATGTTGAAAAAGTAAATGAAGGACTAAGATTAGAATATTTAGATTTAATTTTTATTTCTGTTTTTAGATAACATCTACATTTATATCCTAACAAGCCCAGAAAATGAGTTTCCTCTCATCTTTGATAGGCCGTCCTATGTGTTTAATGTCTCAGAAGTAAGCTCAGGTAGGTAACAGACATGAGGGACGCGGACCACACTGCTCTTGTTGGCTTCACTTATCCAGATGCATGCTCCGTAGAGGGGAAGCTCCCTTTGAGAAGCCCTGCATGGTGTTTTTCACAGCAATTCACAGCTGATTAGTGTTTATTGCATCCCTTCTTTTTCTTTTAAATTGTCTTGACTGCTGTGGAGCCCTTCAGGTGAAGTCTGGATTTTGAAAACTGTTGATTAAACTGCATTTCTCAGAAAGCTCTGATTGCTGCTCTGTCTGTTTGCCCCATTCCTCTAATCCTCCCTATTTGCAGCAGCCTAAATTTCTCCTAGTCTCCACTGTGATTTTTATCCAGATCACTCAGAGAATTGAAATTGAAAAGATAAAGTTTCCCATTCCCAGAGTCCCTTCATTTAAAAAACAAAATAAAGACCTTGTCTCTCTGCTTTACTGGCGTTCACTGGAGGCCTTCTTTCATGCCCTGTCTAACACCTTGATTCCTGCAGTCTCGCCCTCATTAAAGTCTGTCCCAGCTGCTCCTTTCGGGTTCAGTTTCTTCTCATCCCTCCCAGTTTCAGAGTAACAACATTAACTCTCTACTGCAATCTTAGATTTTCCCATGGCTTTTGTCCCTTTGATTTTGGGTTACTTATTCCACTTTTAAGGATCTCTCGTGGCGTAGTGCCCAAGACATTTGACTGCTAGCCAGTAGGTTAGCAGTTCAAACCCACCAGCCACTCCACAGAAGGAAGACTGGGCAATCTACTTCCATAAAGATTTACCGCCTCAGAAACCAAAAGGGGGTCATAACAACTATGAGTTGGAATTGACCCAATGGAGTTTGGTGGGGTTTTTTTATTTCCACTTTTAAAATATGTATATCCAAATGCTCCTTCTAAAATTATCTCCCCTCCATTTTATTCCCTCTCTTTTTGATGGCCTCTATTTCCTGGCATTAAGTTTAAAACAAAACACAAAAAGAATTAGCCAGTTAATAACAAGTGCAACAGTAATAAATAAGGCTTTTTAAAATAAATAAATAAATTCATCGATCATTCAACAATTATTTTGATCACCTATTTGGGTCAGTGAGCTCTGGTAGCATAGTGCCTAAGACATTTGACTGCTAACCAGAAGGCTGGTGGTTCAAACCCACCAGCCACTCCTCGGAAGGAAGACTGGGCAATCTACTTCCATAGTGATACTGCCTCGGAAACCCAAGGAGGGGTCACTATGAGTCTGATCTTACTCGATGGCAGTGAGTCCCCCCCTTTCCCGCTGGATCAAGCACTTTAATTGGTGCTGAGCTACATAGTTGACTAAGAGAAGGTCTATGCCATTGGGGAGTATAATTTATGAGAAAGAACTTTGACAAAACAAGCAAGTCAGAACTCCAGCAGCTCCATCAATAAATTTGTAAAATAAGAAAAGTGCAGTGGCACTTAAACATTTCTATTTTATTATCATCTAATTTCTTTAAAACCGTTTCTTGTTAATCTTGTTTACAAAAGCAATTCATACACATTATAGGAAATTTGAAAAACGCAAAAGAATATAAGGCAAGAAAGGAAAAACTCACTTTAGACAACAGTGCTAGGAAAAGATATAGTTGTAAGGATATTCCCTGCAGTGTTGTTTATGATGGCAAAATCATTGGCGTGCTTGGAGTCGATAAAAAGCGCACAAATTGTGTGTAATGTTAAGATTTAATGCCTCATAGTATTTGCTTGACCTAGGCCAGCTGCTTGGATCATAGAGCCAGGTTCCTCTTTAGGCCAGGTACCTAGTGGATGCTTATTAGAATGGACTAGGTCCTCAGTGGCACAGACAGTTTACAATCAGGTGCTAGCCCAAAGGTTCGTGGTCTAATCCACTGTAGCTCCGTGGAACAAAGACCTGGTGACATTTAAGGAGTATACCTTAGAAAATCCTATGGAGAGATTTACTTTATAACACGTGGGTCACCAGGAGTCAGAACTGACTCAACGGCAGTGGGTTTCTGTTTTGTTTCAATTTAATGGAATTGAAGCTATAAAACCTATAGAGTTTGCACAACACAAAGGGCCTCAAAAGTCATTCCCCTCTGGTAGTGAGGAGTAGCAGTGAGGTGGGCTGTCTGTCCCTGTGCCCCACCACCCCTAAAGCAGTGCTAATCTCAAATATCTTCTGCTCCTCCAGCCAGAGCCCAGATTGGACAGGTGCAAGCGACTGACAAAGACTTGCCCCAGACCAGCATCGTGTACTCCATCGTCACTGGAGGGGCCAGCCTCCAGCACCCAAACATATTTTGGATTAATCCCAAGACAGGAGAACTCCAGCTAGTGACAAAAGTGGACTATGAAACTACCTCCACCTATATACTCAGAATCCAAGCCACCAACCACGAGGACACAAGCTCCGTCACTGTGAGTGTAGCTATTGTTCGGTGTGCTCACACCAAGCCTCTGACTTCAGACCTCTCTGGCATCCTTAGGGTATTTGGCTGTGGCCGTGAGGAATTTTCATAGGGCATAGCCTGCAGATGGGACAGGAAATGAGTACTGGTGCCCAGGGCAGCACAACTGGACATGCAGAGGTGCTCAGGAAATACAGATTGATGGCTGTAGGCCTATATTTGTGGGGTCCTCAGAGAAGTACTGAGATTGCTAGCCAGATGTTGGACTCTCTGCTTAACCCACAAAGCCACTCTGTGGGACAAATGTCCCTCTGTTGCCCTTTAAATCTCCCTTTGCTTGGGCGGTGGGCTAATGGGGAGATGCACACCACCCAGAGTGAGACGGTTTTGTAGCTCTGCATTTGCCCCCAACAGTAATTTTGTCATGTTTTAACCGCTCCCATACAACCAGAAGGAGCTCTGGTGGGGTGGTGCCTAAGGCACCTGACTGCTAACCAGAAAGGCTGGCAGTTCAAACCCACCAGCCGCTCCTCGGAAGGAAGACTGGGCAATCTACTTCCATAGTGAGACCGCTTTGGAAACCCAAGGAGGGGGTCCCTATGAGTTGGGATTGACTCAATGCCAGTGACTTTGTTTGTTTTTTATACACACCAGAATGGGGTAGGTCTTAAAATGATGTGGCTTAACACAGTGCTATGGGGCAGTGGTGGTTGAGTGGTAGAGTTCTTGCCTTCCGTGCCAGACCCCTGGGTTCAGTTACTGGCCAATACATCTCATGTGCAGCCACCCCCTATGTGTTAGTGGAGGCTCACATGTTGCTATGATGCTGAATAGGTTTCAGTGGAGTTTCCAGATAAGACAGACAAGAAAGTCCTGGTTATCGCCTTCCAAAAATCAGCCAGTGAAAACCCAGTGGATCACAATGGTCTCACCTACAGCCCACCATGAGGATGGAGCAGGGCTGGGCATGTTTCATTCCACTGGGCGTGGGCTCACCTTGGTTGAGGACCAACTCGATGGCAGCCAACGACAACAAACCCAGTGCTATGTTGCTTGTCAACCTTTGATATTGAGAATCTTGTTAAATGCAGAGTCTGCTTCAGAAGGTCTGAGGCCTCAAGTTTGTGTTCTTACAAGTGATGCTGATGCTGCTGGTCCATGACTACACTTTGAGTTGTTGTTGTTGTTGTTATGTGCCGTCGAGTTGGACCCGGCTCATAGAGACCCCTCCTTGGGTTTCCAAGGCAGCATCACACTTTGAGTAGCAAGGGTTTAAGAGATCAATGCTGTCAGTGATTAGGACAGGCTGAGGGTAATGGGATGGCCACACAGACAGAACTATTTCTTAGTCTTCCCTATGAATAAAGTGGAAAAGCATGAAGAAAAAATGAACTTTTGTGTGATGTAGAGAGTGACTGAGTCAGAGTCAGGAGATGAAGTTCATGTCTCAACTTTGATCCCAATTTCCTCAGGGGTCTGAGCAGTGTTTATCTCCATGTTCCAATTTCTCTATCTCTTAAATGGATATTCAACTGATAACCCAATGCCCGAAGACTCCAGCTCCTCTGATGACTTGCTTTGAATTAATAGGATGATATGTGAGGCTCATCATTGCTAGCTCAGGGAAGGATGTGTTGCACTGGAGATAATTGCAGTGTTTGTTAGGCTGGGTTTTTTTGGGAGAAAAATGAATGGACTCCACTTTGGGAGCTAACTAGACTGAACATTTCAATTTATTCCTGGGCTCAGAAATAGCTGAAATCCCCAAATATCAAAGGTAGAATGAATACGACTCAAAATTCATAAGCTTTAAAAAGGGTGATGAACTAAATGATCACATAAGTCCCTTTCAGGGCTGACAGTCTGATTCTGTGTTGGCAGCCATCCCAGGCCCCATTCCAATTCACCAGGCGAAAAAGACAGCTGTGAAAGAGAAGAGGCTGGCCCCTACCTATGGCCGGCGAATGCCACTGGCTTAGTGCAGTGCTGATAGCCCAGGTTACAGGTGAGATCCTGCATTAGCCAGACACACTCGTTCCATCCCAGTTGGTCTCAACTCTGGCTGAATATTAGAATCATGTAGGGAACGTAAAAAAGTAACAATGCCTGGGCCTCAGCACCAGAGAGGCTAATACATTTAGTTTGGAACATGGCCCAGGAATGTGTAGCTATGTTGAGAACCATTGCACTCTATTCCAAAGTTAAAGTCTGAACTCCCAATTCACAAGGGGCAGTGATCAAGAAAGTATAGTGGATGACTGTAGATCCATAACCATTACTGGAGAAACAATTCAGCATCCTTTGGGGATGAGCCAATGTGCCTGATACTACATACATGTAGTATGTTGAGGTACGTAAATGTATTTCATATACTGTGCACACACACAGAGAGCATAGATATGAATGGCATAGGGTTTGAAATAGTGCAGACCTGAGTTTAAATCTCAGCTCTGCCACTTATGAATTGTATGATTTTAGGTCAGTTATCTAACTTCTCTGAGCCTTGGTTTCCTTGTCTGTAAGATGGGAATAATCATATTCTCTATTCTCATATGAGGTTAAATGAGCTAATTCATGGAAAAGTGTTTACTCCAGTGCCAGGCACACAGTAAGCCTTTAATAAGTGTTAGCTATTAGGAGCTCTGGTGGTGTAGTGCCTAAGGCACTTGACTGCTAACCGGAAGGCTGGCAGTTCAAACCCACCAGCCACCACTCCTCAGAAGGAAGGTCGGGCAATCTACTTCTGTAGTGATACTGCCTTGGAAACCCAAGGAGGGGTCGCTGTGAGTTGGGTCTGACTCCACGGCAGTGAGTTTGGTTTGGTTTGTTTTTTGGTTATTAAGAATGACCACTTTCTTGTTGTTCTAGGTTACTGTGGACATCCTTGAAGAAAATGATGAAAAACCAGTATGTACCCCAAACAGTTCCTTCCTGGCCATTCCAGTGGATCTAAAAGTTGGCACAAATATTCAGAATTTTAAGCTGATGTGTACTGACCTCGATTCCAGCCCCCGATCTTTTCGTTACTCCATTGGCCCAGGTACAATACTTGGAGACCCTGTTCTTGAGGTCTCCTGGTGTCTCAGGCCTTAGTAGCTATTTAGAGAGATGGGGAAGCAGTCTGTGCTCACACAGTGTGTGTGGTGATTTAAGATATTGAATATGGAAAGTAGGGGTGAGGAGTCCCAAGGTTCTTGTGCCCTTCCCAGACCCCCACAGGGTGCCCAAAGGCCCAAGAAGGGTGAATCCTATTGATAGTGACCCCTTCCCCCAAATACCCAGACTAGACAATCAAAGATTCATAAATCATGCGAGTGTAATTAAAAAAAAAAAATTAGTTCAATTCATCAACCATCTCCTTTCCTGGAAGCTTGCAATGGAAGCAGGGAATCCCGGTCCTCTCTCTGGGTAATAATAGATTAAATAGATGAAATGCATTTTGAAATGTGTCCTCAGGAATTCTCTTCTGCTCCATTCATTTTTGCTCTTTAAAAATATACCATTGGGGGGTGAGAGCACCCCTCGATGGAAATTAGACAAAAATAGTTCATCTAATGAAGTGCTGGGGCCAGAGATTTAAACCTAAACAAGCAGAGTGATTCCAGTGCAAGAGGACGCTCCCTCACGGCCGCCTGCTGGGCGCTGGCAGAGCAGGAACTGGAGCAGAGGGAAGCCTCTGGAGCTCTCTGTGTCACAAAACCCAGAGGCATGCGCTGCCTTGAGATTGCAGTTGCCAAAGATGGAAATAATCCATACTAAGAACCCCAAGGCCTTTATGGTGCACTTCACTGCTAAGGGAGTGAAAATTGCATCATCTCCTGCTCCATTTACTGGTTTTCAGTCAGTAATGAGTCTGGAGCCACTGGAGGAATGAGCAAGAGCGTGCTTGGGCTGGCAGCCTCTCTGCCCCAGGCTCCTTGAGCTATGAGCCGTGAGTCCCAACAGTGTGTGTGTGTGTGTGTGTGTGTATGGGTGGTGGTGGTGGGGACTACATCCTGCAGGAGAACCCGGGACCAGGATTCTTTTTTTTTTTTTTAGTTTTTATTTATTTATTTATTTATTTAGGATTTGGGTGAAGATTTACAGAGTAAATTCACTTTTCATACAGCAGTTCACATATACTTTGTCTCATGTCATTGACCAAAATTTACAATGCAAAAGCTCCCCTCCCATTTCCTCCCCATAGTTACCTCCTCCCAGTGTCCATCCCTTCATACTCTCCTGCACCCTGAGCTATCTCCCTGTGCATAAGCAGCCCTTCCTTCTCCCATGATTGTTCTCTCCAAGGGCGTGTGTCTACTTGAGGTAAATGTTTAACTCACATGCCTGTACTTTGTTTGGCTGGAAACCACAGGTGTGGGTTCAATTCCAGACCTGAAGGGCAGCTAGGGGCCATAGTCTCAGGGTTACACCAGGCTCTATTGGACCAGCAAACCTGGCAGGACCAGGATTCTTGAAAAGCCAGGAGGCATCTTCCTTTGGGGGACCCTGGGGACAGCAGTGAGATTGCATGGAATGCATGGTGTAAACTTGACCTATAGCTAGTATGTGGCCTGCCCTTCTCTCCTGTAGTCTACTCTGGTCTGAGTGTGTTATGCATGTGGTTACTTAAATAAATGCCATATGGGAAGGATAGGCTGGAAGGTGCTGCATCAGGATTATTAAATCTCTCTGCCTGATGCTCAGCAAGATGGCACCTGATTGTCCTAGGGCAGTTGTGCTGTCATCCTTTTCTGTACTCACCCTTGCTGTCAACCATACTGGTGTGAGCAAGAATTTCTTATATGGATGAAATCTCTGATGCAATTAAAGCCTATACATATCACTGAGCCAGCCCTGGTACATCAAAAACACAGTGTACCCTTGAGGTGTGGACATTTGAGGACAAGACTGAATGTACTTTTCTTCTAACCTTTACTTCTTACTCTCTTTTTTCCTTTTTCCTATACCCTTATATCAATTCTCATATAGGCAATGTCAACAATCATTTTGCCTTCTCTCCCAGTGCTGGCTCCAACGTCTCATACCTGTTGCTTGCGTCTCGCTTTGACTATACTGGTGGCCTTGATAAGATCTGGGACTACAAGCTGCTTGTCTACATAACAGATGACAACTTGCTGTCTGGAAGGAAGAAGGCTGAGGCTCTTGTTGAAACAGGGACAGTGACACTGAATATTAAAGTTATTCCTCACCCAACCACAATCATCACCACAACTCCCAAGGTAAAGCTTTGGTCCTATAATCCCCAACCACATTCCTTTGTGATTTACATTGACGGAACCCTTTGATGCCAGGGAAATGTGGGATAGACTGAAAGAGCTTTGGTATTAGGATGTTGCTGAGGATGGAAACCAAGGGCTAGATCAAAGTAGTCCGTGGGTGGCAGACAAAGAACTAGATGAGACCCTGGACTCATAGGACCATTCACTTTACCTGTTCTGATAATGAAGATTGTGTCTTTGTGCAGGGACCTGTGATAGATCAGGCATTAACTATCTGTGGTGCTTGTGGCACAGGAGCCAATTTTCATGGGCATGTGGCCTGTTGCTCCCTTCATGTGGTAGTTAAATTTGTATGTCAACTTGGCTGGGCCTGGTTGAGTGGCTGGGCAGTTGGTGGTAGTTATTCTCCATGATGAGACTGGCAATCAGCTCCATGGGGGTATCTACCACAAGCAGCTGAGTAGCTGCCTTTTGGATGTGGTTTGCTTCCTGTATGTAAGGAGAAGCCTTGGGAATGGTCTCTAGCTTATGGCATGCTTGGACCTTGCATGTAGCCATGTCTTTGTTGAGCAGCCTTCCCTGCTCTGCTGACCTTGGGACGGCAAGAGACAGAACAGAAGCCTCAAGGTCAAGGGGCTTTCACACAGTCCCTAGAGCCTGGCACTTTGAACTTGGACTTAAACCCTCCAAACTGTAGAGAATAAGCTCCTGTTTGTTAAGGCCATCCCATCCGTGGTACATTCCTGTCACAGCGGCGCTAGGGAACCAGAACACTTCACAACCCCTTCTCTGCTTGGTCTGAAGAGCCACCTGCAAATCAATGTCCATGAAAGCAGATAATGGTCAGGTGTTCTCCACTTTTGAAGCATCACAATGTGCCATTTTGTTTACTATTCCCCATTTCCACTCCAAAAAAAAATTCATTCATTTACTCTACATATTGATTTAATGGTGATAATATGCCAGTTACTTTGGTGAACAAAATGATTCCTGCTCTCATGGAGCTTTGGATATATGTCAGTGGTTCTCAAAGTGTGGTCCATGTACCAGCAACTTCAGCATCACCTGGGAACTTGTTACAAATGTAAATCCTCAGGCCTCACCATTTTATTAAGGTTACACCTCATCCAACCATGATCATCATCATGGCCACCTGGGAAAGACATTGGAACCCAATCACAACCCCAGAATGACTGAATCAGAAACTCTGTCAATGAGACCCAGAAATCTGTGTTTTTAGTAAGTCCTCCAGGGGATTCTTATGTGCCTGAAAGTTTGAGAGCCACTGGTCTAGATGGGTAGATGGATAACAAACAAGTAAGCAAATTAATAAAATAATTACAGATTGTGGTAAATGCTAGGAAGGAAATAACAGGTGTCAGAATACAATCAGTGTGAAGGAAGGCAAAGTCTTGGCCTCTGACTGCAGGGTTATCTCCTCTGTTCTTTGGAGGAACTGGCTTATATTTATGCTGGCCTTTTTATTCCCTTTCTTCCTCTTGGCTTGTGAAAGCTGCACCCCTGGTCAGCAGTTCCATAGTTGTAACCTGCCAGAGGAAACAGAATCAGAACCTTAAAAAATCATCTATGACAGGTGGCCAACTTCTGCTTCTCAGCGTCTTATCAAGAGCTGATTAATACTTACCCCACCTGTGCTTTTATCAATATTACCCACAATGAATGGAGCCATAGAATAACATTAAAGACTTCTGGTTACAATAGAAGCCAGGAGGGTCCCCTGAGTAAGGAATTGCCACCTTTCTTGGGCTTAAAGCATGACCCAATTATGACATCTCCAATCCTAAAATCTCTGCAACTTGTTTATCTGTTTCGTGCTCTAGGAAGCAGATGCTGAACTTGAGGTTCAGTGTGATACTGGCACACCCCTCTGGCAGTGGCAACTTGTAGAGGAGTGAAAAACCTACAAGGTGGAAAAGAACAACTTTCATAGTCCATGCCATCCCAATGAAAGACAATTGCTAATCTAATCCCCGGGTTACTCTATGATTCGGAAGAAAAAAAGCCAATGGCATTTTTTTTTTAATTTATTTGTTTTTATTTGGGTGAAGATTTACAGAGCAAATTCACTTTCCATACAGCAGTTCACATATACTTTGTCTCATGTCATTGACCACAGTTTACCACAATGCAACAGC